TTAATTTGAAAATTATTTAACATTCGATCTTGGACAAGATCCAATTTTTAGTTTGACCAAATAATGCATTCCTACTTCTCTATAGAATTTTCGATCTGTAAGGAAATAGAAAAAAGGGAGGAAGTGTGTATAAAGATAAAAACGAAAAGGAAGAAGCAAACTGTTATTTCATGAATCGAGCAGAATTAATGTTTTAATTAGAAATACACGCGAAGAAAAAAACAAAAAAAGGGGAGAGATGAGAAGGTATATATTTATTACAGAATATATCAATGTGGCCTTATAATGAAAATGATGAAGAAGATTGAAAGAGGAGAGAGAGAGAGAGAGAGAGAAGGGAAAAATTCTTTAAAAAAATTGAATGTGAAGTATCCTGTATAGCAAGCACGGTATACAGGTTTCTTTCCCTTCTTCCCTGAATATCTTCTTATTTTTTGTCTCTTCCAGGAAAATGTATTATAGAAGAATTGATTATTGATTATTAACTAGTTACTTGCTGCTATCGATTATTCTCGCACTTGCTATTACAATCGCAACATTATTTTTATTGTCACTGTTATTATATTACAGCTATTATTATTATTTTTATTATTACTTGTTCGGTAAGGATTATTAACTTTTAGCTCTGGACCAGCATGAATATAAAAATGAATTATTACACTAACTATATTATTATTATTGTTAAGTATATAAGCAAAAAAATGCACACGCGCACATAGAAAGAAGACGTTATATATTATATTGTATATGTACACGGACACTATATAGATGTATGTGTCTAACGGCCCGACTGGAGCCTCTTGTATTCTTCTTTCCTCCATTTCGTTCATAAAGACCCAAATAAAGAGATTTGTCTCCAGTTCGGGACCTTGTTGACAGAGAGAGAAAGAGTGAGAGAATACAGGATAAGACCGGCTGTCAATTAATTTTTTAAGAAGATTAAGACAAGTACATTTTCTAGCACAAATGTATGTCCTTTAATGTCAATTAATTGACCCTGTTGAACAAGAGCTTTCGAGGGAGTACCGAGAACCGAAAGCAGTATTTTGGTCTTCCGCATTGGCGTTATCCGTGTACGCGTGTAAATGAGAAAGAAATAAAATGTAAATGTATGTGAGAGAGAGAGAGAGAGAGAGAGAGAGAGAGAGAAAGAAAATAGTTATTTAACAGAATATATGTATAGAGAGAAAAAGAGATATATCTTATGAGAGGAAATGTGCACGTATTTGTAACTTCTTCCTCGGCAAGAGACCTTCGCCTCAAGTTATCAGAGTGATGATAACTCTTATCTACACAGACCGCGTAAAAATTAGAATGATTTGACATACATCGTGGTAGTATAAATGATCTTTTCGGATACAGAACTTTAATTTACTCATTACTTATAATGCTTTTTTTGGTATGATAATATACCGAATGTAAATGATTGATGATGAATTTTTATAGCGACAAATTGTGAGAGATCATTGATATTAATTTAAAAAATATAAAAAATTGAGATATTGATGAGATATTTTTAAAAAATTTGACAAATTTATATTATAAGCGACAGAAAGAAATTTTTTAATCTTGCGAGTCATTCTGTTGCGAGGTCTTTAAGAACGTGTCACCTTTCCTCTCTACTTTCCAAGGCGCGTCGCAAGCAGCGGCGAATTTACTTCTTATGATTTAGTTACGTACAATTACTACTATATCACTACGTTACTACAGCGCTGTCTGCTATTCTTCTTTTTTTTTTTTAGATACATGGTCGGATTAACGCGTTCATTATTTTATTTTCTAATTTTATTATCTGTAACAGCGGGTATTAGTTAGAAGAGCGCGCGAGATACGTTTAGGCTTTAAAGGAGACGCGGCGCGTTCAATGGAGCAAAACGTGAGATATAGCAAAATGCGATTATATTATTATTAATATTATTATATTATTATTCTATTCACGATGCAGATATTTTATTTAAGCGTTAAATGGTATATATATATATTATATATGAAGAAAAATAGAGAGAGAGAGAGAGAGAGAGAAAGAGAGAGTTTAAGCGCCAATTGTATTGCGCTTCTTCCGTTTTTCTAAAATTTTCTAAAAGAAGAGGAAAAGAATGTTTACCGAGCTGTGTACAAATTTTACTCTTCGGTAGAATTTGCAATCGATCATAATTGATTGATCGCGATTAATCAGTCTCCGGAAAAGGCGAAGAGAGAAAAGCGTATTTTTTAGTAACAATAATAAAACGGATTAATAAAAATAATATGCACTTTTACATTGCAATACGCGTTATTTATCGCGCCTTTTTCAAGATTTTTTTGAGATCGAGATCTGCATTAATTTTCTGTTAGCATTCGCAGAATTTTCTCCTACAAAATCTATTCAATTGTAGTCATGAAAAGATTTTTAACAAGATGAATCCTATGATTATTTGATTGAGGCTCTAAATTCCAAAAAAACATTAATTTAAAAATAAATTTGCATACCATTTGAAATTAATTTGTTAGTTTTCAATAAATTTTATATGTTTTTAAATACATATGTTTCGATAGAGTGTCGGAATAATCTATCGGAAAAAATTCATAGATTATTATTGTTATGTACAATATAATTACATGTCGGCAATAGAGGAGATGGAGGAGATTGCGCGGATTTCGAGGATAGTTTGCACAAAAATACAGATACATATGTTGCGAATGAATAAAAAGAAAATATATTATATATTATATTATATATATATATGAAAATATATTATATTACGTTATATTATATCGCACGTCCGAAAGCACCCTCCAAGACGCGTTTAAATAATATATATGTTTATACATTTAATGCATGCATACACGTATATATGTACATGCTTTATGCGTATACATATATACGCATTGAATAACAATAATAAATATGCAAGTTGCACGTTCGCACATTATCGTCGTATATCGCGGACGCATGCCTGTCCTACGATTATGTACGTCTCTTGGATGTACCTTTACGTATTTCTTTGGTGCCTGGTGACGAGAAGAACGATAACGCAATCTAATAACGCGATTATTATTATTTTTATTTGTTTTTATCTAATTGTAGTTTCTCTCTTTGTAACTTTTTGTGATATACATTGCAATAGTCTAGCGGAGTTTGTCTCTCTTCTATCATCCTCCACTGTAAACACAATTCCTCGCGCAGATTTTACATCCTCATGTACGAGATACCTCAAATATCGTGATATTTATTTTTCTTGGATCTCTGTATTCAAGAAGAATATCTTGTAAGTCTTTTAAGGAGTGTAAATTGTGTAAGTAATTGAAAAGATTAATACATTAAAGTTTGACAACTTCACACACACGCACAAACATCTTCTATTTACTTAAAAATATACTTCAATTAAATATGAAAATATATTTAAATATGAGTTTATTAAAATTAAGGAGAGATCATTTAAAATAATTCTTAAGGAAAGATTCCATATAATGCACTTTGTATTGGTTAATTTTACTGATACAGATACTTTTACTTAAAGTTATGCAGCCTCTAAGTATCTAAATATTTAATCTTAAATATTCAAAAATTTTCTTAAGCCTATTTTCACAATATATAGTTACCTAAAGATTAAAAGTTATCAACAGATTCATCAATGAAATTCATTCATGACCTTTAATTTTTAGGTAATCATATATTGTGAAATCGGGCTTTAGTAATTTAATGTCGATAAGTGTGTGAATGTTAGATTAAGAGATTAACTATTCAAGGTGAAATTTTTTCTTCGAACAGGTCTCGCAGATGAAAAAATTTATGTTCTCCAATCTGTTGACGCGATCAGCTCTTCGTAGTATCGTTCATTGAGACCGTAATGATTTCGATCTTAAGCCATCTACTTTCTTTTTCGTTGCATGTGCGATCGGCAGATCAACTGCCGTCGCAGCTACCAAACGACATCACCTTCGAAGTCTGCAGCTCGTCGTCGCCGTCATCGCCCGCCGCGCCGGCTTCATCGGCCTCGTCCTCGGCGACGCACGGCGGTGACGATAAAGAAGATACCGGCAGTGCGGGCACTTTCATCAAGACCGAGAAAGATAGTGGTGTCCATTTCCTGACGAATCGCACAGAAGAGGATCAAACCGATCTTCTGTTACCAAAATCGGAAGCAAGCGATAACGAACCGGAAGTTAGGAAACAGGTTGGTTGTCTCTAATATGACTTTGACTTTGATGACATATGGATTTTGAAAATCGTTTCTACTGAAGTTGTGACACAGCGAGTAATTCATAATTAATAAGACAATTCAATTAACTTTGATATTGTATATCCACAATACCATTATATTATGATAAATTCCGAAAGTTAAGCGTAATATAGTGAGAAAGGATGAAAAGGATATGAGGAGATAAAAAATATTAATAAATGTTATTTTCCAAGCTGCTGGAATACCTCATTCAAAACGACGGTTCCGTAGTCTGCAAGTGGTGCGGTGAGGTGCTTCCGTCACGAACCCGTTGGTACAGGCACAAGTACAAGCTACACGTGTCGACCCAGGTGGCTCAGCCGGCACCGCTCTTTAAGTGCCATAGCTGCAACACGTACTTTAAATCCCGCAAAGGCTATATCGGCCATTTAAGTTCCCGGCATTCCGACAACGAGAACGATGAGAATCGCGAGGAACCCACTAACAAGAAGTCACGCAAGACTTCCACCGATGTAAGTACTCTCACAATATCTACAATATTATCTTCTTTAAAATAACATCTAATTCTAAATTATTAATATTCAACATTTTTCTATTCGATTTTGGTAACGTTCTGCTATAGACTTGCAGAGGTCCAGATTGGGAGTTGCAGCGGGAAAAAGAGGAGAAGCTGGTAGCGGACATAATCGACCGAGTGAAGCGGGAGTGCGAAGCGCAGGGCGAAACGGTGACGAGGCGTGGCTACTCCAGGAGGTCCACGATCATGAACAGCTAAGGCCGAGCCGGCCGCATTGGCAATTTTCTTGAGGGGCAACCATATCATCATCGGGCGAGGCCCTCCTCGTGATCTCGAAGAGAGAGGACTGTTCGATTCCTTCGGCCCTGTCGATATCCCCTTTCTTCTTTTCTTTCTACAAATATATAGATATCGATCGTTATTTTCGAGAGAATGTAGAGAATGGCATAGTGGTTTCTTTCAATATAAGGGAAAATTACAGGAAGGGCCAAAAAGGGGATTGAACGTCTTCGGGTTTCACGAAGAAGATACGTTCCTGATAATCGAACGAGCTATATCGTTCGGGTGATGTAAAAATAAGGGGCACGGCTGCGTATATTTTTTTCCCAGCCAGCTGTGGGTAATGAACGTCGATGGTGACGTTCCTTCGATCGCTATGATCGTTGCGAATCCTTGTAAATAAAGAAATACTTTCTTTCGTCGCGTATTAGCGAATCGCAAAGAACTCTCGATTATCCAAGTTCTTTTACTTGCAGCGAAGTTCAAAGATTATCATGGAATTGATCGCAAAAATCTTATTATTTATTTTTTAAAACAATTCACGTTGTCAATTAATTTTATTTTAACAAGAGAAATGGGATGAAACAGTATCAAAGAATGCAATCAAAACGAAAGGATGAGACAAATCTTTGCGTGATCAAAGTTAGAAGTAATCAAAGTCCCATAATTAAATATGACTGAAAAGAGTTGGGTTCCAACGAATAAATTTTAATGCAGAATCTAGAATAAGAATGATAAGCGATCAAAGTAATATTCTTAGAAATATAATACATACTCGATCATAGACGTTTAGTTTCTCCAGCGAATCGTCCAGCGAAGAATTAATTTAATTTTTCTTGATGTTTATAATTTTTACTTTTTTGCGATTGATTCAAAATCGAGAGTTCGATGCACGTCGCGTCATTACGAAGAGAGTTGAAGAGATCTTTCCTCGAAGAGAAGTGTGAAAGAGAGGGAGAGAGAAAATCCAGTGCCAAATGTATATCTTCCCAGGCGCACGGAGATTGTTTGCTCAACAAGTGCGACCGTACAGTACCGAAATCTATTGTTTTTGCTAATTTTTTGATGACGTGCTCAGTCCCGCTCGATACTGCGTGTCCACGCAATGCCAAAGGCAGTAACACCACGCGAGGCAATATTTTCACCTAAAACGGAATATTATTCGTTATTTTTAATATTGCACTAATTAAACGGATTAATCAATTAGCGTAAACAAAAAGGTATCGGTAGAAATTAATTCAATATTGAAGTCCAAGAGAGATTGACTTTAAAGTATTATATAATTTCTTCCTATATATTTTTCCATTTCAGATATATTGAACGTGTACGTGCTGGTCTTTTTTTATGAAGTACATCCGGTATATCTTGTGCGTGATGTAATAGGCGCTATGCATTGTGGCATACAGAAAAAATGGAAAAGAACCTTATCGACATACGGGTACCGACGTTTAATTACATTTACTCAATTACGCGCTCTCTCAGTTACGTCACAAATATATCGGGTGCATGAAGTATACCTGTGAAAACACGCAGAACGTGCGGACATGCATACTGTTGCACTCGGATAATTAGATCGACACGATTATTAGTGTCGCTAGCGGAACAATAGATAGATAAATAGATAGATAGATAGATAGATAGATGAATATATCTGTGCGTGCATTTAATTGTAAAGACTCACCTCCAAGGAAAACCCTAAAAAAAAAATATGATCAAAAGGCAGCACTTGATTATATTTTTAAGCAGATTTTCTAATTAAAATATTTTCTAAAATTCCTGAAAATAAAATTTCTTTAAAAACTTGCTATTTAAATGTCGATCCCGCTTTACTAGTACATTAAATTATTATCGTAAAAATCTTTAAAATTAAAATTTTTTAAATTAAAAATTTGAATAAAAATAAAGATTTAAAATTCTTTAAAAACTCACTGTTTTTTTTTAATATATAATATATAAATCGATTCCGCTTTACTAATATTTTAAATTATTATCGTTGCAAATTATTTTAAAAATTACTCTATGAATTATTATTCTAATCAACTTTTATTTGTACTTAGCATTTGGATTTTCCTCATGAACGTGGACTTTTATAATCGAGTGCACGTGACGTATGAATAAGTATGATATAATGCGCACTGGTCAGCCGGATGTGTGCGACGGGCACGTTATACTCGTATTAATCTCGCTGAAAATATTCCAAGAAAGTCTGTCCATTTTTTCGAATATCTCGAAAGTATTTTAATCTTCATTATCCTGTCTTTTGCACGTCAAAGGAATCGCGCAGTATATACATATATAGGAGGTTCCTCGTGAATAAAAATTCAGGATAGCCTGTAAAATCTCACACACCTACATAGGAATAATATTAAGATTGGTGCTAAAGGCAAAGAAAACATACAGATACATTTCTGAAATACACACACACATACACACACACACACATTTTCCATGCAGATGCGCGTTTCTTTGACGACGCGTGAATACGCATCGATCATTCTGGAATTGTAATCGCAGCGATGGGGTTTCTTCTGACCTTGTCCGCCGGGTATTACACACAATCATGTACAGATGAATGCAGATGTATGTGAGAGAGTGCGCGCGCTAGTACACGCGCTGCATACCAATCCTGTGGCCCGTGTCCGTGCCGCGATTTTTTAGCGTTGCGCGCGTCCACGCGATTCTCTTCCGCAAGATCATACGGCCGTGTTCGAACGCACGGTTAAATAGCGACCGCGACGTTATAAATCGCGTAGAGCGTGCACTAGCGGAAGATATTATTCTCCAAGTTCTGGTTTGAAACGGAACTCCGCCTCGTGCTTATCTCCCTGTTAATTAATCTTGAAGAATTGGTCTCGAGTAAATTTAAGAAATATGCATATAACGAAGAATTTGAATTGAGAATGAATATAATTGAAGAGAAACTTACTGACAAAGTTTTCACAAGAATTATATTGTGATAGCGTCACGTGTGTGTCTTCCCTCTGAAGGATCTCTTCTCTTTTACAAATTATTACATAGATTTTGAATTTAGCATTACTAAATTTCGGCTGCAAATTATTATCGAGTAAAAGTATACGAATTTTAGGTCTCGTAAAAGAAGAACTCTATCATATCTCTATCATATACATTAACTTATACAGGATGAATCACCTAAGGCCGGCCACCCGAATAATACTCATAATTTTGGAGATAGGAAAAAATGTTTCAGATGAAAGTGAAACGGTTTCAAAGGAGACGTATTTTCATCATTGTCTTTTTTCTAGATAAAGGTGCCAAAAAGATATGAAGATCCCCCCACTTTTTTAAAATGGAATTTTATAATTTTTTTGCGTAATGTGATTCCTATAATTATTCTACATAAAAGTATTAGACTAGAAATACCAAAAAACTAATAGTTTACGAGATATTTTATATTTTATATTTTATATTTTATGTCAATATGTCGCAATAAAAGTGTTCCACTTTCATCTGAAACATTTTTTCCTACCTCCAAAATTATTCGAATAGCCGGCCTTTGGTGACTCCTGTATATGACTTGAAAACCATTCCTGAAATCTTTGAAAGAATTTAGGAAAAGATATCATTAACTAGAAAATACACTTCTAATCATTATAAAATTTCGTGCATTCCGATAACGAGTGCATCGTTAGGAAATATATCAAACCAGTATATATATAATCATAAATACAATATTTTATACTATTTTAAGGTCTACGCATATATGCGAAGAACGTAGAAAAGTTACGTTCAATCATTTTCGGAATTCGATACTGTGCCAATAAAGATTGCGATTGACTAGAGTTTACTATCACGATGTTATTAATAGCAATACTAAGAAAAAGAAACTTTAGACGAACCTCTTAGCTTAAAAACAGTGCTTCCCTATAAATCGCATAGCGACTTGCGCTCTTATCGATGACCCGTAGGCGTCGATAACATTTTGGACCTTCCATAAGTGATATCAGTCGTCTTCCATGATATCGCGTTACTGTAAATATAGCGATTTCCAATCCCATACTAAGGAATTGAATTCTGTGACATTCCCTCTTGTCGCGTTTCATTCTGAAAACCACAATAAATTTTTTAAGTAAAAGAAAGATAAAACCAAAATTTTTCAATAATTCCAATTTTTAAGATTAGAATTAATTTTACATTAATCCTTCTTAAGTCGACCGTTCTTCTTTTGTGAGATTTAATTAATTGAAACGAATGAGAGATTAATTAAACAGGGAGGCACGCGAGAGACATGTCGGCGGTGCACTTCAATCTTCCATAATGACTTTTAAATGTTAAATAATACTAATCATAAGGGATAAGAAGGCTGAGCTCACGCAAGTTGAGTGCGACTTGGGTGCAAGAGCCACATTCGTGCGAGAAGATAAATTATTTATTTGTTTACGATAACGAAAGCGTAATTCGGGCGGCTCGCGCGCGATTTTTCCTCAATAACTATATAATATCGACTATCAAACGAGACGCTCATTTTCAATACCCGCTATTAATCTCGTTGCGAAAAGAGAATTTTTATCTCTTTCATGAGATAAAAAACTTTACTCTTTTCTTTATTTTGGATAAAATCTATAGAAAATATAGAATGGTATTTTTTATGTGAAAAAAATTTGTTTGAAGAATTGTGCTTAGCATCTTCGGTATCGAATGAATCTTATAGGATTCTCGAGATGTTATGCAATTATCATCAATAAAATATCATATTTCTGAATGATCAAGAATTATTTTTACATTATTATATCTCATCAATAAGATTTTCCATCAAAATACAATCGAAGCTTCAACGCCAGAGAAGCTTCTATAAAGAGCTCAATAATTTCAGAACGATTATCACTTAAAGAACCTAACTTTCCAAAACTCATAATAGTTCATCTCTTTCCATTAACTTAATCTTAATTTAATTTGTTCTTTATCTTTATAATTTTTAGAACTAGAAAAAAAAGGTAAAGATTAAATTAAACTGAGATTGAAATTAATCTACATTGGTAGAAATGGATAATAGAGCTACCTCAATCAAACTCCAATTTATTAATTAATAAGTGATCAGCTCAATTGGCAGTGAATTCACTTTCATAACACAAAAAATTTTTAGCTACATAATTCATTATTATTAAATCCTTTTTCTTTTACAAAGAATCAATCATTCTATTTTGTGTGTTAACGAAATAATACTAGCATCAAAATAATTCCGATGGAATTAATTGGAATTATTCGGAATGGATTCCGAATCGGAATTATTCAATTATTTTCTAGATTTCTATTATGTTTTTTAGGAAAAATGGAAAACTCGAGATCTCGTGCTCGAATCCTGGAGAAAATCCGGCGGGTTTTGAAAATACGCGATTCGCGTAAACGCGACTGGCGATGTAAATAGTACAGCGAGCGCGAGTTCGCCCGCGAATGCAACCCATCTAAAGGTGCACGCGGTGCACTTGTACGTACTGTAAGTGCGAAAAAAAAATTAAAAAAAAAAGAGAAAAGAGAACTGTAGCAATTACGATCGTACGTGCTGTTCGTTGGCGAAGGCTAATGAAACGTGTTGTGCATTACGTATCAGGAAAAGGAAATAAAATCAAAATCGAAACCGATTCAGTTCTCATCTATTTATCGCTATCCATCCACCCTTTGTCCATTTCAATACTCAGGCTATGATTCTGTCGACAAGAAAAAAAAAATCGATGCCAGTGTCCGATTTCGTATGCAGAAAATGATAGAAAACAAAAACTTGATGTCTGAACTTACAAAAAAAGATTCAGAGAATCGACTGTATATATATTTTCGGAGTAACTTCCACCAAGATTCGATCAATTTAATCCACAATCAAATTCAATTCTTGAGATCGCTAAATTTCTTAATAATTTGTCTTTTTTTTTATAAATACATTAATCCTCCAAAGCTGATGCTAAATCTGTAACACAATTACTGAAGCTGGATTATTAAGATCCCTCATTTAATTTTTGTTAATTAAAAGGCACTTATAATTACTCATGCAGCACAAAATCTTGCATCAGCAGAATTTTAACATTTTTTTAATGTTATGGCAATATAGCTGAATTGTTGTAATTGAACAATTTTCAGATCAGAATCCAAATAATTTCATAATATCCTGAAGTTCCTGAAATAATCTATCTTCTAGCTTAAATGCTGGGTTCAAATTTGTATCAGAGTATCACTCAGGTATCACTCCATCCTTGTTGTTTATCAAATGTTAAACAAGATTACATAATACCCAGAGGGCAGGGAGCACCCGGGTGAGAATCCAAACACGCCCCTGTTTAGGTATAGATATACATAAGTTTCAAGGAACCAAAACATGATATAACTTGTATTAAAAAAAGAATGAATATCGAGTATATTTTGTTGAGAATAATCCAAATGTATATGCAACATAAAAAGAAAATTGTTTAACCTTTTTAACAAAAACATTTATAATTAAACAGACTCACCATCAGAGGGTTAAGCAATAGATGATCAATAAATCTATATTAATAAAAGTAATCGGAGTTCGATCATCCTCACCACATCATTATGCATCACTTCTTTTTTTTCTTTTTCTTTTTCTCCAACTGACACTAATCATCGGCATCGGCTTTGCTTCGTCTCCTTCGTGTTTAAATCTCCCCTCCAACTTCCACGACCATAAAGTTGACACCTTGACACAGACAAGAAATACGGATACGCCTTTTCTCACTACGCCGGTCTCTCTTATGAAGCAGCATATGGACTCGACATGACAAATCTGGAAATGTCCCTAGGAAGTCAGCTTTTCTATTGGCCTTTGAACGTGCAGCTCAATGAGGCTTCTCCATAATCTCTGATCCCTCTTTCTGCTCCATCGTCAAGACGTTCGTATGACTGCCATAACTGTTTACACTGGTTTGTATTACTCCACGAGCGCGTCTGTCACCTTGGTCATCATCGCTCACCATCACCTTCACCCTCATTATTAGCACCTTCACTTATCACCTTCACTTTCATTGTCGTGGTTGTTAAGCTTAGATATCGGCATGTCCCATCATTGGTCGTGAGTATTATTCGCGGGGTGTGCCTGTTCGCAAAGAGGAGGGTAGAGATGTTGCGGATGATGATGATCAGTGCGTTTCTGTCTGGCGTGGTGACTGTCACCGCTGCCTTGCACTCCTCTACCGCCTTGAACGGCGGGATTGGCGATCCTCTTGCTCATCACGGCCGCTGTGAGCCTATTACCATCAATCTCTGCATGAACATCCCATACAACGAGACGATCATGCCGAATTTAATGAATCATCAGAAGCAAGAGGACGCCGGCCAAGAAGTGCACCAGTATATGCCGCTCGTCAAGATGAAATGCAGCCCGGATCTGCGTTTCTTTCTGTGCACTGTCTACGCGCCCGTTTGTACCATAATCGAGAAGGCGATACCGCCGTGCCGGTCGCTCTGTGAGAGCGCGCGCTCCGGCTGCGAGGAGTTGATGAACAGCTTCGGTTTCATGTGGCCGGAGGCTCTAGAATGCTCCAAGATGCCGGAGAATGACGGCACGGAGCTCTGTGTAGGCACCAACGAGACCACCACACGTCAGGAACCTGTGCCTATCTCTCCTCCCGCTCGTATGCCGATGGCGGAGTTCCAACCAACCTGGAATGAAGGATTAAAACCTCACGGTGGCAAAGGCGTTGGCAAGGGTAATGGCAACAATTTCATGATGGGTGCCAGGGATTTTGGCTTCGTCTGTCCAATGCAGTTCAAGATTCCTCATGGATTAGGATATTCATTAAAAGTGGGAGACAAGGTGGAACCCGATTGCGGAGCACCCTGCGATGGGATGTTCTTTACCGAGAGGCAAAGAAGATTCTCCAGGATATGGGTTGGCACTTGGGCCTCTATTTGTGCCGCTTCGTGCTTCTTCACGTTCCTGACATTCCTCATTGATACTGATAGATTTAGGTAAAACTCTTTCTTGAAGACCTTCATGAAATATATCAAACATTCGACAAGTTTGTACAACCTTTATGAAAGTATTATTAAATTAAAGAAGTTGTGCAATGCTGTTAATAATTTTAATACTTATAAATGAGATTAAAAATTTATCTTGATCAGCTAAAATGACTAAATTAAAAATAAAATAATTTCTTCTTCAAATTACTTAGATCCACAAGTCTATTTTAACTTTAAATATTTTTCATAAAAAAAACTTTCTTTTTATATATTTACAGAAATGACAAAATTCAAGAAGTGCTAAAGTTCTTCTAAAAGGTGTTAATGATCTTTTTGAAAATGTTGACAACATGCAAGTGCTATTAGTAGAAGGACTGCGATGTTAGTTACTTTTGATGATTGATAATCAGTGTATAATCTTTACCCTCATTCATAATCAATAATAACTCAAAAATCACATTTTTTAAATTGTGAATTAAAAGAACAATATTAGCATAGAAAATCTTATAAATAGACAAAAGTATAATTAGAGTTTAAAAAATATCTAAATCCATAGTTTCAAGATCTCCAAGTTTTAAACATTTATTTCTCGTACAGGTATCCTGAGAGGCCTATCATTTTCTTGTCCGTATGTTACCTGATGGTGGCACTAGTTTATGTGATTGGCTGGGCAGCAGGGAATTCTATATCCTGTAGGGAGCCATTCCCATCGCCTCCAAGTATCCGGTTACAGATGGCTTCTACAATCACTCAGGGTACTAAACATGAACTGTGCACTGTGCTCTTCATGATTCTCTATTTCTTCGGCATGGCGTCGAGCATTTGGTGGGTCATCCTCACCCTTACATGGTTCTTAGCGGCTGGATTAAAATGGGGGCATGAAGCGATTGAAACCAATTCGCAATACTTCCATTTAGCTGCCTGGGCTGCACCGGCCGTGAAGACTGTTACTATTCTGGCAATGGGAAAAGTGGAAGGTGAATTAACAATTATAATACAAATTCCAATACTTTGCATAAAAAAGATACAGATGTAAAATACAATCACTCTTTATCATATTTTCTTGTGATTACAAATATATTAGAAACTATTTTATAATTTCTTTTCAAAATTAATTAATAGCGAAGTAAAAAAATTTCTAACATTACTTTTATATTATTTTTATATTGGAAATTATATTTTATGTATATATATTTATATAAATTATATTTCTCTAATTTAATTTGTAGGTGATATATTGTCCGGAGTTTGCTATGTTGGTCTTTGGAACGTGGAGGCTCTTCGGGGTTTTGTGCTGGCACCGCTATGCGTTTATCTTTTATTGGGCACTGGGTTCCTGCTGGCAGGTTTCGTCTCGCTCTTTCGCATTCGCACGGTGATGAAGCACGACGGCACAAAGACTGATAAACTCGAAAAACTCATGATTCGCATCGGCATCTTTTCTGTGCTCTACATTGTACCTGCTCTAGTCGTAATCGCCTGCCTTTTCTACGAACAAGCGTATTTCGATCAATGGATGCTTACGTGGAACTTGGAGATGTGCTCGCGACCGGGCCTGCAAGTACTCTACTCGTTGCCGTGTCCTCAGGGCGAGCGCATTCGCGATCTTGGTCGTAAACCCGATTTCGAGATTTTCATGATCAAATACCTCATGGCGATGATTGTGGGCATTACTAGTAGCTTCTGGGTATGGTCTAAGAAGACGCTTACCAGTTGGCAGCAGTTCTTCCATCACATACGAGGTCATCGCACTGAAGCCTACGTCTAAATCCGCAGCTGCATTTGTTCACGAAGATCTACGTACTTTTTTATTTTTTATTTTTTTTTATTGAACGATCAGGTAAATTATATATGACGAGTTGAATCTTTTCAAAAGATATTTACACGAGAACAAACCAATGTCTTTTTCTCAATATTTTACTTTGCTTCTTGAACTTTATAGCTCTTTGTAACTTAATGTGCAGTTAAGAAAGTAAGAGAATTTTTCGATAATGTATGTGGAGGTAAAACACGTACGATATCGTGACTTTTATAATGATGTTAAAATGTAAGTTCAGCTAGTAAGATAGCCGCATGATCGCTGATAGGAATTCCCGAATTTCTGAGTGTTACGTCTCAATTTACAATGCTAAGCATAATTAAAACGTATTATTTTTTTATTAACATTGGAAAATCGTCATTAGCTTTAAACAAAAATGTTAATTTATTGTATGATATCAACACGTAGCAGAATTTTTTAAAAATTGTTTTTCGAATTTATTTATATACATCATTAATTATTTAAAATTTATTTTTAATTTTTAAGAATCTTTAGGCAAATTTATATTTATTTTCAACTTTGATTCAAATTAATTAAATAAAATCAAATCGATTAATTAATTTGTATGAAAGTTGCAACAACGCTTCGGATTGTGTTTATGATTGTCTCATGAATAATTAGACATACGTTAATATTCGCTGTGCCAAATAAGTTTTTATCTCGCGTTTCTATAAACGATCTACGACTCGTAAAGTGTTTGGACTGTATGTTGATGAGTTTGGAAGTATTATTAGACGATTTATATTATTTGTTCTTTTACTAGCATATCTCATCTCTTTATAAATGACTCAAGTCCCTATGTTTAAGTTGCTCAAATGCTATAGCAGACAAATCAAGTGTTCAAAGCAGCTAATTGGATCCTACAATCCAATACAATCTGAGAATTAAGACTTTAGTAATAAATTCAGTTGGATATACTAGCGCATACTGATATATATTAAAAATTGTCATGGCATAAATATAAAGGTGTATACGTAATAAATGGTCGGACGCACTAGATGCTAAAGTACAAATTATCGCGTTCTTTGATAGAATGCAATTTAGACATTTCATTAATCAAAGCGCTTGCATCATGCTTTTACATTTGAATTAAGTAGATTTTTATATAACTGACATTAGTATGCGTTGATATATCCAACTGAATTAATTATACCTAAGGATTAAAGATCTAAACGTCTTAACAATCAATTCATACTGCCGAATCTTTCCATCCTATTCATAATATCATTGATGGAGTAATCTATTACGCTTCATTTTTACGAAATACTGAGGAACATAAAAGAATACGATGATACTCAAGAGGAGACTTCGATAGCTTTTGTCAGCCGTTTTTCTTTTGTATCTTGTTTGCTAAAGATCCTTTTTTTGTGCGACGAATGTATTATCATCTAGATTGTAATGTCGAGGATACATCTTGACAGAATCTCAACGAGATTAATTTGTAAGATTTTATTTGTAAGAATTTACTACTTTAAGTTCACACACTCATTGTATATAATTATAACATTTTTTAATTCTATTCTCTATGTATTATATTTTTTTAAAGAATTGTGTATATAAATATATATATATATATATATATATACATTGACGTCTTATGTATGATGAAATTTAGGTTGATGATAAAGAACGAGACGTTTACATCTTAGACGCGTATGTAGGGTAAGGTAGAGAAAAAATAACTTTTAAATTGTGAAAGACTATTGTGTATGCGGTTTTCACATGTACACAATAGTTCTTCACGACTTTTTTATGTGTGAACAAGTTATGTGTTTTTCCTTATCCTACGTCCACATCTAAGACGTAAACATTGTATGTCTTGTTTTCTGCCATCGGCTTTAACTCGCGAACAAACCGCGAATTCGTCCAATTGAAATTACCGAGCTTTTGTGTACGAAGATTCTGTGCTACGAATGCGTTATGCGTGATTATTATGTATTATGGCATACGCGAAATATACGATTCCGTCGTATGCGAGATACAAAACTATGTAAATTTTATGATCGCTATATTCTTTATATAATAAATGAGAGGCATATGTGAAGTCGATTCGTTTTGTCTAAATAACATGCATGTTTATTTACAGATTTCTTTATAAAACTGATAACAAATATAAATGCTTACACCTTTTACATAATATAAATTAGAATTACAAAACTTTCAACTTTTAATTAAATTATACAGAAGAAGATAATAGTCTTGTCTATACGTGCCGATTTTATCCAGTAGCAAATTTTTTTATTATCAAAATAATATCGATTTATGTCGATTTATTTTAATTTATATACAAAATATACAAATATCAATCTTGTAAATATAGCAAATATCTTACTTTTTGCGACTATTTTTAATAATTTCTTTTCACAGTGCTAGTATTTAAAAGTGTTTTATTATTCGTCGAAATGCGGTACTTAACAACGAAATCTTTTTAATAAAAGAAACAATTATCTTACGAAGATGTTGGTGGTGATTTGATAGAAGTTGTTGATGTGGGTACTGATTTTTTTTTCGGCATTTTAAGCAAGCCTATTTTCCTCAGATATTTGACAAGCACTGGAGTCACGGACAAGGATATTCCTATTCGAACAGGTGCGAGCAATTTATGAACAGTGTACGCTATTATGAAATCCGTCGAAACTTTCAGCAGGCTTTCTATCTGTTCGTTTCCTCCTGTCCACTGTTGTATAAATGGTGTTACATCGATTCCACTGAAAACAAAAATTTGAATTGTCGGAAAAAATATATATAATTATAATTATATGAAAAAAATTTATTATAATTATATAATATATATTATATAATTATAATAAATTTTTTCAAGATAAATCTCGAAAAATAAAATGATATAGTTATGCTGTCATTTTTTCTTTCAAAAATTTTATTTTGAAAGTCATGTTGTGTGCAAAAATTAGTATATACAAAAATTAATATAAATCTGTTAAAAAACCGAACCAGGAAAGCTAGAAATGTTCCAGAAGTCACACATTTGAGAAATTTTAACCAATCATTTATTAAAAATAACACTTGATCAAATTTCTTTAAAATAAGTGATAAAAAAGTATTTCCTTACTTGATATATGAAATTTTCGGTTTAGATCTTTGATCATATATGAATTACTTTCGGTTATATATACATAGATTAAATTTTCAATGTTAAATATTTCAGTTAGAAAAGAGAAGATGCGATTTTTAGACCTATTACAGGGATTGCACGACTGACCTAATGACCACCATATAACAACCACCGAGACTTATCAGCGATATAGTGATATGAAAGGCGAGCAGAGTACTTCCATAATCCCTCAACAATAGGCGAAATTTTTCCCGCTTTGACATCATTGCGACCGGCACCGTGGCCTGATCCTTCTGGGAGTCTTTGGAGGTGTTGATCGAGTAGCTTATTCTGGTGGTATAAATTGGCCAATATGTCGCTCGTAAAAGCGGGCTCGTTATGAAGGAATTAGTTGCAGTACCTGAGCGACATATAATTGCCTAATGTGAATTTCCAAAGCTGGATGGCCACAAAAGCTTGCACAATTCTTATTTACCTTGAAGATCCAACTTAAGAATCTGCAAATCCTCAAGTATATAAAAATTTTCAACAGAGCTTTTGTGACTATCCAATGTGTGCTAATATTAATGCAACATTAACACAGAAAGAAGATAAAATCCTAAACTTTTGTAACATTAGATTGTTGTTGAAATATTATGAATTTTTGGGATGCTTATCTTTGAATCCTAGCGAATTACATAAATTATCAGATTCTCAAATCTATATAACATCAGCGAAAGATCTTACTTAATTTAATTTGGTATCAATAATTCTATATTGATATTCAAATAATTTGGTATATTCATAATTGATTAAACGTCCTTTGATCCTTCAACATTTAGAGTTTCAAGATCAAAGTATTGTATTATCTTCTAGGATTCAAAGGACATTAGCGAGGACATTATAAAGATGCAAAATCGTAAGGAAGCGAAGACGAGGAAAGCACATCTACCCTCTAGAATCCAGTCAAAGGTCGTTCTTACACGACAACTTGCGGTAATGAGAGCGTTGCATGTCCTCGGCGATGTATTTGTCGTCGCGGGACCACTGTCCACCAGGCATGTTAAGATGCATGGATTTGCCACACGAGGAGAACGGCTTCGGCACGTTACTCTGCATCGTGCCATTCAGACTGATTGCGCCGAAACAATCATATGAATCCACATGGCTGTCATCGCGGATCTTGGGAAATCCAGAGCAGTTTGTTGTAGAGACAGAGATACCACCGTTCTCGGTATATAGCGCAATGTCACGCGCGCGTTCCGGCGTGAAGCGACCGGTCTCGTTAGCAAAGATATCACAAACATTATTCGGTAAAGTGAGAGTTGGTGGATCTGGATAATAACGTGCGCTAGTCAAGTGCAACGGCTGCTGCTTCCGATGAACTGCCGCCGAAGTCGCACACTGTATCTCCAAGAATGCTATAATTAAAATTTAATGTTATGGTACTATAACATATTACACATATATTTATATATTTGCATTACATTAAAAGTTTATTATATAGAGATTTATTTTTTTTTATGAAGGACAAGCATGAAGAGAAAGAATAAAACGTTGAATAAGACTAAGATTCAGTTTCACAACTGACGATTAACTTTTAACAGAGGTTTAACTTATTTATTATTTCTTTTCAATTCTAGAATTGGACTGGGCCTAAGAAGAAAGATAAGAAAGAGGAAAAGTTTGAATAGAAAATATAACAAAAGAACTGTCTTCACAAAGACAGTATAGTTAGTTTATGTTGAAACTTCCAAGGTCAGAAGACTAGAAGTTAATAAATAAATATTTATATACGTATAGTTATATTTTTTATTTAAATTCAAACGTTCAAGATTATTAATATTTTAAGAAAAACAAATCAAAATAAAATGGAAAATGTTCTATTATTATATAATTACATTTTATATATTATGTCACGTATAAGACAAATTAAGAAATACATTCATTAAAAACAAAAATTCATAAGGTATAATAAAATTAAAATGGGCAAATGTATACAACAAAGTTTTTATGCTAAAATTATATCTATGTTAATATAAAGATTATCATGTAAAGTGACCGTCATGACCGTGACGTAAAGTACTACAAGGATAAGGTAATATATTACAATAAACATTAAGCAAAAGTTTTTAAAAACTGTTTAAAAAATTGTACATAAAGTTTAAAGGAATTATAAATTTCTTATAAATGTATACATCTCAGTGATAAAAGACTAAAATGTGAATATGATTTGAATACTGTTGATGGAAAAAGCCAGTATCTCTTATTAACGTGTTAATATCAGTTTTATGGTTTTTTAGAAAAAAAATATGTAATTTAAATTATATGTGTACTGTAATACTGCAGATGCTCTACAAAATATTTTTAATAATTTCTAAAAATATAAATCAAAAAGCACTATGATACAATCATAATAAATTAAAAAGTTAGAATGACTACATGTGTAGCAGACTATATATGTAACTTTATCATTTCTTAATATTTTCGACTCTATCTTTCAAACTGTAAAAACGACGGCTCACTTGGAATCTTTGAAATATATATTGCATGCATATTTACGGATAAAACGAAACGAAATAATAATACAATTTGTGAAAAGTAACTTGTACCTGTGCGCGAAACACGAGTCAAAGTATTCAACATTTCCATACTGCCGATTCTCAACAATGCCATGGCTTATAAATTCGCGAATCTTTCAGCTGCGCAGAAACAGTACTAATTACCACTGAAGATCGACGTAGACTGATGAAGTGTCAGAACAATTAAAAGAAATCAGGGATAAATGATCCACTACTTGTCACGGTTCCGGTTCTTGAACCTTGAACAACGATGAGAGAGATACGAAAGTACCGATACAGTAGATTTCTTCTATTCCAAAATATTTCAGTGCTTGGAAAATATCTGTTACTATCTAGGACAATTTACTTTTCGATATTGGTAACTTTAAATCCAATATATTGTATTGGGTCATCTAAAAAGTATCCGCGGTACTTTGTCACTAGATATATGACCATCAACACACATCTAGTGACAAAAAATCGTGGATACGTTTTAGATGACCCAGTAATATCCAATAAAAGAAAAATTTATTACTGTATATGGGGCATCTAAAAAGTATCCGCGGTTTTTGTCACTAGATGGTGTTGATGATCAACATCATCTAGTGACAAAAAACTGCGGATACTTTTTAGATGACCCAATATTACTTCGCAGATTGGTAGCCTTGAGTCAGGAACTTTGCATTTTTATCTAAAATAACTAGAAAGGAGAGAAAGAAGAGGAGAAATGATGGAGATTGGACGATCGCGTAAAGACTTCGCTATCGCGAATTGTTTGAATTTCGAATTCATAACGTATAGAGAATGGGAGAATTATTTAAACACGCCTTCGGAGCAACGAGAAACTGGAGAAACGTCCAATGTGCACTCCAAAAATGATACTATTCAATATGCGTCACGAAACATGAAAGATGTGATATTGTATTTAAAACGAAAAGGGATTCACGACATCATCGATTCTCTGCTCGGCGAGCTTCTGGTACGTCGACCCTACGATCCTTATGAATATCTGGTCCAACTCCTAGATAGACGTATTTTGACTCGTGACGGCCTCGTTGATTCTCCTCCTCCTTTCTGCTCCCGGTAAATAGATCCAATGTATTCTCATTTATAACTCATGTTGGCACAATGATTACGAGGTGATTCTTTAGGGACATAATAAGACAAGCGAGACAAGCAAATCATTACTGGAATTAACTAATGGAGGGAAGAAATCTTGAGCAAAAAACGATGTTTATAAAAAATACGTCTCAAAAGCATGCCATATAAATAAAATTTATAATGGAATAAAAATTTTCGTGGATTGAAGTATTTTCATCAAAAGATTACTTAGACGTACATTTTTTGTGTTTACATCTTTATTTATTTAACTAAAAAATTAGAAGAAAAATCCCAATATTTTTCCTCCAAGATGTTTTCTCCTCGCTTCCTCGTGATCCATAATTCCTCCGCTAGTTGTCAATACAACATATCTGAGACATAAATAGAAATAAATGTGTATTATATAATTATTTTCTTTAAAGTTTAATTAACACAATTAAAATATTATTGGGTCATCTAAAAAGTATCCGCGGTACTTTGTCACTAGATATATGACCATCAACACACATCTAGTGACAAAAAACCGCGGATACTTTTTAAATGACAATACATTACACTGAACACATAAATGCTCAATAATAATCTTATAATAACTGAACATGTTTTTCACTTGAATTGAATCTTTCAAGTATACTTTCTTATTTAATTTTATTCTTGCTAGTATAATATACTATATAAATTTATTTTAATAAAAATAAACAAAAACAAAACTAATTTATATTTTATGTAGCAAATGTAAGAGATAATTTCTCATATATTACAAATAAATAAAGGCTTACCCAAACTGTCGAGAAGGTAAGAGATTGTTGGTCCACTTTTCGATGTCATTGATAGGTACATCAAATCTAGGTGAAATGACGCCACATTTGTTTAATCTTCCAGTAAGATTTACTACTACTTTCCCACTGCGATGATCATCCACAATTTCAAACTCTCCAATATACCCTGCATAAAATATATATATATGTATTTATAAATATATATACATATTTATATTTATACATAAGTACATATGTAACATATCACTTACCATGTTTCATCATGACAGTCAAGAATTTGACAATCACCTTGGAACAGGGTCGCAGCAACACCTGCCGCTTTCCACGTTTTTCAGCATTGTTGATTGCCTTCAAGGCATCGCTAAGAACGTTCATACGTACCATGGCTGAAAGCCAAACATCGCAAGCATTAATCAAACTTACATATATTTGCATATGCAATTATAATATATTTTATTATCGATATACTCTTTGAAATTAAATGCTTTCTAACAAAAACGCAGTGTAACGTAGTAAATTATTACATTCTTACTATTCACCAATATTAAAAAAAAATAAAATAATCATGTATTACTTGTTTTTTTTTAGCGGAACTTCTTATATAGTCTTATCTTTTCTTTTTTCCAAAAAAAAAAAAAAGAAAAAAGACTGTGCACAAAGTTCAGCTGAATAAAACAGACCTATTGTATTTTTTGCTGGAAAGTACAAATTGCATACACTACAGAAAGCTTAAACAAGTTTCAACAAGTATAATGCAATGCAACCAGCTATATAATAAACATATTACTGCACTAAAAAGTAAATGTATAGTTACAAGCTATACAAATTTAAATATTGTAATTTCATCCATGAATGCCTAGAGTTCCTATAATAGTTCCTCTATTATTATAGAAACACTACGGATACCACGAGATAACCTAACCTAACCTTCATACAAAGCACAATAAACAGATAAAAATTAATTGTTGCACTATACACACAAAATTAAATTTTATAAGATTCTTCAATTATATCGTAACGCTTATATCTTTACGATATACTTTTAGCGATTTAAGCGGAAAACAGCTGGTGAAAGAAACGATGGAACGATTGCACCGGTTCATTTCGCATCGTAAATATCTCGCGAATGTTTCGTGCCGAGCGTTAAATACCATCATCGGGATACACAAATGGATTTAACGCACCGTTCACCGCATTAATATGAAGTTGATGGGTTTTATCACGAAAGATTACCTGCGATTCGTAATTTACTTGTCGCGGTAACGTACACGCGAATTCAATGTGAACATAAAAAGGAGCAAACCTGCGTCGCTGGCGTCGCTGCTATCGGCACTGTCAAGTGTGTTAGCGTTTTCTATGCGTGCGCATGACTGGAACTGTTTTCCTTCACTTTGATGAAAACGTTAGAAAACGGCACTGTACCATGAAAAGTTTGATAATAGGATTGACAATGAATGCTCTTGATTTAATGACACAAATCGACACAAATATCCTTTACATTCCATGGGTAACAAAGATAAAACAATACTTGCCTCATTAAATGAAAAGCATCCAATAATCGACAAAAGTAATATAGGGAAAAAGGAAAGAATGTTTGGGAAAACTTCAATCATTTAAATACACAATATAGATTTATAAAGAGTTGTTAAAAATATTATATAATGACATTAAAAACATTTGTTCAAAAAGTATATACCTATATTAACAGAGTTTGTACGAAATCGTTTCTTTGAGATGCGTACAATACATATAACTATACAATGTTCCATATATAAAAAATATTACAATCATTGAATTTATTATTTTACAAGTTAATGTCGATCGAAAATAAAAAATAAATATGTACAATATTTGATCATTTTTTAAAATATCAACTAGGTTGAGCATCACTATTCTTTACTTCGACTGGACTGAGAATGGTGAGCACATATTGCAGAACTTTGACTAATTCCTGCTCCTGTTTACTAGCATCGATACTTGACAACGTAAATCTGCCAAGGGCTTCCCGAATGCTTTGAGAGAACCCGGCACTTCGCATAATAAGTTTTCCTTTTTGGTTGTTACTGATCAAAGACCACAGCATGGATCCAGCTAAATTGATCTCACATGGCGATCCATTCTTGAAAACATCGTGCAACAAATTTATGAAATCCACTATAAAATAATAAATATAGTGTAATATGCAATGAATATAAATCATTCTATGAATATATTTATACTTATCCTGCATATTTTATACTTATATATTTACCTGAACTAAGAAGCCGAGGTCTATTTGCTATGTTGAAAGCTAAATTGCGTAATATCGATATTGCAAGTACTCTGTTCGTTGATGAAGGACATTTTGCTAAATACATTAGGACGTCTAGAGAATCAGTGGCCTAAAAAATATACTATATATAGTTATCAAGCAACTAATATATTTCTGTACATTTTACCTTTGGCACGCACAATTGTCCTTCCTCGTAGTAAGTAAAATCTAATAAAAACTCTAGACAATACATTTCCACTAATGGCCATGGTTTCATTCTTTTGGTGATAGTGGGATGTATCTTGGTAAAAAGTTGAAGAAGATTACTCTGTAAAATGAATAATTAATTCATAATTAATCAGTTTGGAAATGCTCGTACTACTAAGCATATGCTCATTACTAAGACTATTTGCTTAGTGCGTTTTGTAAGCTTCTATTTGTATCGTTCATTACCATGCCAAAGGAAGATAGAATGAAATTTACAGCGCGTGAGCGCCCAAAGCAAACGCAGTTTTCTTTCAAAATAGACGCAGTCTGAGTCTTATTGCTTCAAAACTATTCTGTAATTGAATACGGATAGATGATGTAATTACCTTCGAAATGCAGACTCTACACTCATGAACATGCACTGCGTTTCGCAGGATGTGGAAAGCAAAGTGCATCTTGTGATTATCGAAAATTTGACCGGCCCTTTCTATTTCTTTGCACGTTACTTGTATTACAACGTGTATCAACGCGAGCGTATTTGGCGTTTTCCTTAATCCACTTCCCGGTAATATGGTTGTTAATGTTAAGGATTGTGCGGCTAAAAAATGCGATATAAAATTAAAGCGCAATTAATTTAAAAATGACACAAAGAAATCGTATATTTTTGTCATCAATATTATCAATAATTAAATGCTTTTAAATTATCTTACCAACATTACATTTCGTCGTGAACGTCGCCAGTAATTTTAAGGCGGACGTTGACACTGTTTTATTTAACGCTATCCAAGCCCATAACTTATGTACTACGTCTGCCAAGCCTTCCTTTGTTAAGCTTTCCTTGACACATGCGTCTCCGCACATAAAGTTCATCAGAAGTATGAAGATACAATTCACATCGTGCAATAGAGGATGAATCTGAAACAATAAAAAAGAAAGTGATTTTTATAAATTCGTATAGAAATTGTGATTGATTCCATAATGTATCCATAATTAATCTTCCTTTACCTTCTTTTCCGCTTGCTTCTTGTAAAGCTCAAATGGTTGAAGATTCAATTTGACATATAATTCTCTTAAGATCATCAATGCAGTCTCAGAAAGATTACCCCATAATGCTGTTCGCTTCGCCTTCTTTGACACGCATAGTAGATTGGTAAGGGCGCCTACTATGAGATCTTTGTCTTCCGATTGTTTGCTGCTCTTTTTGGATTTTGCATAGTTATGAGCGATGAAAAGATATAGCAATAGTCCACATAATTCGTCTCCTATAGTAGTAGCTTGTTCTTGATCTGGTAGCTTATCGTCTTTCTCATGGAAATCTTTCTCGCTTTCATTCGATTTTCTGGAATGCGCGTTCGCGTCTCTTATTGATAATTTGTTGACGTTCGATATGACATCTCGCAAAGTACCATCCTTGCTTTCAATCGAGACATGTGCCACATTAGTATCCAGTATAGTTTGTAATAAAAACGTGCCATTTCTTCCAAGAGAATCTTTCTGAATCTCGTGAGACAGTAGAAAAGTTAAGAGGCTAATAGCACTCATTCTTAAATCTGTCGTGGAGTCCCTTATCGCGAAACAAATGGAAACCATAACCGTTTCAGGGTCACATAATTCTAACGCGCTTTGAATGGCTTCAAAGTGCTGGTCCTCCGTTAACGAAAGCACAGCCACAAAATTATAAATTTCTGTCCAGAATCTGTTGCGTAGATATATCAGACGCGGTTCATTAAACTCTAAGAAAATTATTGTATTAATTAAGGATGTGGTATTATTTAAAAATTCAATTAATAATTATATTAAATATTAAAATACTTACGATATAAATCGATATTTAGGAAGCAGAATATAGTATAAAGCGAATCAGAGGAAAAAAGTACGACGGCTGCGTATTCATTGCTATGCGTGATACAATTTGTTAAAACTGTGCAAATGCTAATATACATCTCTAGTGTGTCAGAATAATGACTCAAATTTTTTCTGCTTCTGATATCTTTCGGAAT